AAGTTTTTTGTATTGCTTTTACACGAGGAAGGCAATTAAATTCAATTTAAATTGATATCACGTTTGCGTTTTTTTAAAACTGTGGTTATTAAAACACAAAGCAAAAGGACACAATCACCACACTATTTCAAAATCAAGGGTTAAACTGAAGCTATTGATTTAAACTTATTTTATAAAAACAACCCAAAGATTTGCTTTTTATTTTGAAAATTTTTAAACAAAGCTATTATTTTTTTATATTTTTTCCCATCTAATTAATAACTTGAGGCGTAGGCTTCAGACGTGAATTTGATTAACTCTCCTCTAAATCTTTTTTTTTAATTTTTAAACTTTGGTATTAAGATGCCCCAAGATGACCAAACGGTCTTGTCAAAGAGCACCGCGGAAGTGCATTTTAACTAGGTAGTTCACGCCTCTTTCCTTACCGTGACCCGATAATATGGTTTGATCTCCTTCTTTTTAAGCAAGCGCTCTAATTACTGCACCACGGCCGCACTTTTCTTAGTTTAAAAGTAAAAAAATCTTTAACGTCAAGTAAGGTTAAGTTAATATATATACATACACACACACACACACACATATATATATATATATATATATATATATATATATATATATATATATATATATATATATATATATATATATATATATATATATATATATATATATATATATATATATATATATATATATATTTATATATATATATGTATATATATATATATATATATATATATATATATATATATATATATATATATATATATATATATATATATATATATATATATATATATATATATATATATATATATATATATATATATATATATATATATATATATATATATATATAATTGTATGTGTGAAGGCATGTTCTATTGAGTTATTATTTTTGACTCCATATTGGTTGCTTTTTTTTTTTTTTTTTTTTTCTTCAACTTTAATAAATTTAAACATCGTTACCTTATAACTACATGACATAATATAATCCCACGTAAAAATATAAGATAATAATACCACGTATAACATAGCATAATAAAAATTGGTTTAACAAGTATAATTAAGTATAGCGTAAATTAATAGTGTTTCTTATCATAAAAATTACCAGTATTTAAAAAAAAAATAAAAGAATAAAAATAAGAAAAGAAAAAAAAAGGCAAGAAATTTTTTGGTACTTTAGATATATAGATGTTGTTGTAGATATTTAGATATATACATGTTGTTGTAAAGGAAAACTCATAGAAGTCTATAAAGATTTATCATTGAGTACTTCTTTAAATGATTAAATAAAGTCTATTTTATTTTTATATACAGGTTGGCCGATAAGTACGAATAGTTTCTTTTCTTTGTTCATTACAGTGTTTTTTCTTTCACAGATCATCTACTGTATTTTGTTTTTGAATTAAAATTTATTCTACTGTATTTCTACGTTGTTTATTTTGTAATTTTAGGTATGACGAAAGTTTCGCCGCATCGAAGTGCTATTTTAAATTTGTGCCGATCAGGAATGAAAGCAGCTGCAATCTCAACAAGGCTCAAGTACTCAATTCCATTGGTCTACAAAGTTCTGGCGCAATGGAGAAAGACGGGTGACGCACAGGAGAAGAAAAAAGAAGGCCGCCCAAGAACTGTGAACACTCGGAATGCTCGAGGAATAATCAAGAAGCGCATCACCAGAAATGACGGTGTGAGCCTTAATAAGATGGCAAAAAGTCTTGGAATGGCTCGATCGACTCTTCAAGCACAATGATCTTGGACTCAAAAGCTATCGACTTTTAAACGGACAACAGCTAACAGATCAAGCGAAACAAAAACGAGAATGTCTTATGGTCGGACGAAAAAGTTTTTTTCATTTAATTTGCCAAGAACTCTCAAAATCACCGAAAACTCTTGTCACCAGATCTAAAAAACAGCCGCAGAAGAAAAGTTGCAACAAAGACGCTTTTTCCAAAAAGTTTAATGGTGTGGGGAGGAGTCTCGGCAAACGGCACAACGGAGCTGATTTTTATCGACAAAAGCATTAAGATTAACGCCAAAACGCCAAAAAGATTAAATTATCAAGAAGGTCGTCATTCCATGGAAGCCAAAAAACCAAGGAATGATCTTCCAACAAGACTGGGCGCCTGCCCACGAAGCCAAAAGCACGCTAGCTTTCTTGGACACGAAAATCAAGGATTACCTCGGGAAAGGTTTGTGGCCTCCAAATATCTCCGATCTATCACCACTCGATTTTTCCGTTTGGGGCGTTTTAGATGAACATTTGTCTCGCCAGAAAATCGAAAATTTGCAAGATCTTTGTTAGAATTGTTAAAGGCCTGGGCTAATTTGGATCTGGCCAACTTGCGGCGCACGGTTGAGTCGGTCAAGAAGCGAATTCAAGCCTGTATCGACGCAGATGGCAGACACTTCAAAAATATGTTATAAAAGTTATTGGTAACAGTTCATTTGTTCATTTAATAAACATTTTTCTATATATCATTTGTTACAAAACTCTGGTATGACTGCCTTAATATTATACGTACTTATCGGCCACCCTGTATAGTCAAAAGTTGTTAAACAATATACAGTCAGTAATACACATAAATATTTTATTTTACTTAACTTTCAAGTTGCTACTTATTAAATTTTTCAAAAATAAATGATTAATGAAATAAATGTTTACTGTTTCATAAAATTTTATTATTATTATTATTATAGTTGTAGCCGTAAATTTACATAGAATGTACACATACAGCGAGCAGGTAAAACACCCCACTATAAACAACCAGTTTTATAAATATTTGTTTCAAACTTATTCCACAACCATAGTCTAGTCTATTTTTGAAGAAAAGTACAGTGGAGTACAAAGTTATTTGCTCTGCTAGTTCGTTCCAGTATTTTGCTGATCTATTATACAAATGATTATATCTTGAAAGACAGTTTGGAACATACTCACGCCTTATTTTAGAATGGTGACCACGAGATATGGAGTTAATATATTTTGGTAGATATTTATCATTAACTATATCAAAACGATGTATTAATCTAAAAATTTGGATTAAATCGCATCAAAGACGTCGAAACTCAAGTGATGGTAGATTTAATCTTTTTAGCTTTTCGCAGTATTGAAGATGCCTCAAGCGGTAAGCCCATTTTGTTGCTTTGCGTTGAACAGATTTAACCAAAGCCATATCAGCTTTTAAATAAGGAGCCCAAATGGACACTCCATATTCAAGATGTGGTCTTATAAATACTTTATATAATTTGAGAGAAAGAATTCTCTTTAAGACTTTTAAATTTTTTTTTTTTTTTTAATTTTCCGTTTTTGTTACATTTAATTTCCGTAACATAATACCAGGTACTCTTATTTGAAAAATAAACTAGTTATAAATATAAAAAATTAAAGACAAAATAATAAGAGTTAGTTATACAAAAATAAATAAAAACGCCGGAAACTGCAGAAGACCATTAAATCTTATCATCAAGAACCGTTGTAATAGTTATGTTTTTACAATATTAAATTCCTATAATAGTGTTAAAAGCAAAACTTAATTATTTAAAATTCCTATAATAGTGTTAAAAGCAAAACAAAAATTTATTGAAACAGAATGGAGCTTTAGTTGCTAACATCAGTTAAATCTTCTTTTAAGAAATTTTAAGGAAGAAAGAAAATATATTTTAGGTGCCCCAAGAAGTCCTTTTGGTCTTATTACAGAGCACCGCGGAAGAGTATTTGATAAGAAGTTTATGCGTACTTTCTTACCGATGTTATAAAACTTGCCCAGAGGTTTAGAACCACGGATCTTAAGTTTTTGAGGCAAGCGCTAACCTCTACGTTTCGGCTGCTTATAGATTTATCTATTTAGAGTCGCTTTGGAAAAAATGCCTAATAAAACCGGGGGTGTGGAGTGTAAAAAAACGTAACGACTCCGACTCCAGTTGTTGAAATTTTTTGAGTACAACTCCGATTCTAACTCCAAAGCTTCAAACTCAAAATTCTTAAAAAAATATTACGTTATAAGTTAAAAATCTTTTTTGACAAATTTATAAAATGTTGTTTGAGGTTTAGTATGAACATAAGGTTAATTTACATGCACGTGCAATACCGAGAAGTTTTACTATTGGAGTCAAAGTCACAATTTTGTTCAGCAACTCCGACTCCGTTAAAAATGTCGCAACTCTGACTCCACAGCCCTGAATAAAACAAGTAAAAAAATCTTAAGAAGCATATTTTTTTCCCAAACCAATCAGTTAATTAGTTATCTCTTCTCAATTATTCAGCTAATTAGCTATCTCTTCTCGATTATTAATGATTATGAATAAAAGAGAAATTAATTAAGTATTCATATAATTTTTTTTTCTTTTTTATAATTTCGTCACATAAATTATAAATGTGATAATTAGAATACTTTATTTTTGAAAAGCGGACCAGAGACACATTTGTTGCTGATGTTAAGAGAAGGCCGACGAAACGGGTTTTAAGAACCTTTAGAAAAAAATTGGTGGAACCCATGCCCCCCCCCTTCCCGCATCGGCTATGTAAAATGGAATAATAATGATAATATAATAAGACAAGAATAAACCAGCTTGTATATAAAAATTAAAAAGAACGTTTGAGAAAAGTATTTTAGTGGATTTCGCAAAAAACAAACAAAAAAACTCATAAGGTTGGACAAAATCAAAAGCGGCGCCGGTAAACTTCAAAACGATATTATGTAAAGACATTTATGCAACATTTATACCACGTTTATCAAAAATAATAGAATTAAGAGATAATGGGTTAACTAGTGGATTGACTCTTAAACTAGACTGTATTGATGTATTTACTAAGTAGGCTGTATCAAGAAACCCTTGATGATACAAAGAAAACATAAGATTTTGTTAGTAGAAGTACCTGATTGTATCAAATTACATGACACATAAATACCAGAGGGGCGCGGGATATGGAACGAATTTTTATTCCAAAAATTGTAATGTAGTAACTAGTTATAACTTTCTAAAAAACAAAACGCTAGTTTAAACTGTAAAAAAAGGACAAAGTTAATCACAATAAGTTAGTTTATTTACATTTGCTGCTATTATTTGATTTGTTGGCATAAATAATTTTTTCTATAATTTATCTGCAAAATAGTCGTTTCAAAAAATTGATAGGATAAATTGTTAATCTAAAAAAAAAAAAAAAAAAAACACAGCAAGAAATGTTTCATCAGCAAGTTTTTCTTTATGCTTAGATTTAAACGTCTTCACTATATTCAACTTCGCGAATTAGACTTGATCATACTTCAAACTTACAACAAAACCATTTTGTCAATTATAGTTCAAATATAATGTCTCTACTGAGGCCACCTAATGTTTTCAATTCAAATATAATGTCTCTGCTGAGGCCACCTAATGTTTTCATTTCTAGCAAAAGATCGAATATTACCACTTGCAAGTGTAGGATTTAACACTATATTACAGTATTCTCGCTCAGGGGCCTGTTTACACTCAATGTATTTATTTATATAACTGTGCAGATACTGCAATGGAGAAGATCCTTGAGAGAGAACTTGAAGATGAAATTCCTTTATATCATACATAACTCCTAATTTTTTTTCGGTCAAGTTTCGTAAAGACCAAATGTCAAGTTGTCCAATCATATAAGCGAGAGCCTGGCCAAAATTACTTTGGTAGCGTGTTACCTCTTTTGCTGTAAGATCACTATCGTCCCATGCATATTTTGAAAATAATTCTAATGCTTCAATTCGGCTCATGCCATTGTAATGAATACCTGTGTCTACTATAAGACGTAGTGCACGCCATATCTTAAAAGAAAATAAATCAATAGATTTCAGATAAAACACGTAAAAAAAATAAAATAAATAAATGTAAGAGATTGTACCTGCCATTTTAACATGCCATATTTTTGCATTAAATTATCTTCATAAATATTAGTGTCTTGTGCAATAAGAGGATTTTCAGCGTAAAGCCCCCAACCTTCTGTGAATGCTGTATAATATGTTTTGTCATCGAGCCATGATTCAGGACCATTACATTTATCACGAAAATGTTCGTTTAACCCTTGCACCTATAGTTCCAATAATATATAACTTTAATGCAAGATTTTAATTACTATGTTAATAAGTATGCATTAGTAGCTTAAATTATAGTAAATGACTTATATTATAATATTATGACTTAAGGCATAATAAAAAGTAATTATATGTAAAAATGAATAAAATATAAATAGCAATATAATATATTGGAAGCGTGGAGATAAAAACTTTAAGATTTACCTTCATTTTATGCAATATAACATATATTTTATGCAATAGTTTTTTCACTTGTGCAAAAATATATTTTTGAACAACTGAAAAAAGGAACTAGATATAAAGCAACTCTCTTAAAATGTAAGATAAAACAAATTCCCTTAAACCTCAACTATTTTAAAATATAAGGTAAAACAAAAATAATTTAGAATGCATTTTTATTCTAGTTTATAAATATTTCAAAATATATTTAAAACAAGAAAAGATTTGAAAAACTGTGTATGCATTCAATTTCTATTACAGAAATGTTACCATCTATAATAACATCTACAGGATAAAAGTACTTAAAGCCAATCATTAGCAATGAGTCTTCTTTCACATTAAATCATTCCAATATCAATGGAAATGATTTTATATCAGCGATGTAAAATCTACTCCATCTACAGAAGAATACCAAACAAATCAAAAGTTAAAAAAAAAATTACTTTTATGGATTGCTTTTCTGAAAATAATATTTATCTATTTTGTGCCCAGTGGACTCAAGAAATCTATATAAACAAAGCATTAAGATATCCCATTCATTGATGGGTATCATTAAAAAATATACATATAGTGGCCCAATTTACACCTAACATACCTAAACAAAAGTGCAATATATTGAGAAAGCAGAGACCCTGCAAACTTGCCAGAATGTTACCCTATCAAAAAATTTCGGAGTATTTTGAAAGGTCAACAAGAATATTGAACACGCATTCATTCATTTAAAGTTCATAAAAAATTATATTTTAAGATCAGGTATTGTTTTAATAAAGTTCATACAAAATTATGTTTTAAGTTTAGGTATTGTTTTAATAAAGTGCATACAAAATTATGTTTTAAGTTCAGGTATTGTTTTAATAAAGTTCATACAAAATTATGTTTTAAGATCAGGTATTGTTTTAATAAAGTTCATACAAAATTATGTTTTAAGTTCAGGTATTGTTTTAAATAAGTTCATACAAAATTATGTTTTAAGTTCAGGTATTGTTTTAATAAAGTTAAAATTGAACTTGTACAGAATTTAGTACCAAACTTAATAAATCACAAGGCATGATTCAATTTAAAAAAAAAAAGATTTTATATATAAAAACTAAAATAAAAAAACATTCTGAAACATTTCCTGTTTTTTGGCCATAACTTATGTAAAAATTATGTAAAATAATTCAAGTAAAAGTTGTAAAAATTGCTCAACTAGCCCCAACCTAATTTGTACAGCAAAACATAGAAAAAAGCAAAAAGAAAAAAGCAAAAAAAAGGTACAATTCTATCACAAAAGAAAAAAAAAAGGGTCAAATACATATGCTGTTACAAAAGTACATACAAAGATAGCGAATGGGATTATTTAACTTTTGACAAATAAGCCACTAATCTATATGATATATGATCCATAGATATGACTTAAAAATTTAAAATAGCATCAGCTGATTTTCGAAAAATGCAGGTTTACACTACAGATGAAAAAAATAAGTAACACATAAGTTACCTGAGTGTGATGTCCAGGCCTTGCTTCATGAGCATTAACTGAATATTCAGAAAATTTTGGACCAAGGTTTTCAAGAAAAAAGGGAATGTTATAACGACAGGGAAAGGAACAATTTCCATCGCTACTGTCATAACTTTGAGCGCCTTGTGATGGATTGAAATCAATTTGAAGCTTTACCGGGCAATTCGGAGTGCTATGTCGATCTCCAGTAAAATAAAAAAAGTCAACTGTGTTTGGATCATGAATGCTCATAGTCTTAAAAAATTTCAAAAAACAAAATTTATTAATTTAAAAACTTATTGAATAAAAATATTCCTGAGCAATAGTTTTGAAAAAACTTTATTACCATCTGAGCAAATTCAAACCACTTCATCATAGCTTTCCATCTTGTTGGACAATGTATTTCAGCAGTTGCAGCTGTTGCACAGTTTTTAAATGCATCTCCACGAGTCTCATTTTCTGGAAGTGGCTCATCATGAAAGAAACTTAGAGATAAATTTTTTAACAAAATCTTAAACTTTTCAACTGCTAAAGTGCTGTTTATTTCATTTGTTTCTTTTGTTGCTATTTCAATAACCTAAAAACATAAAAACAAACTTGCTTAGTGTAAAAAATAATTTCATTTTTGCTAAAATACTTATGTTAAATTATGTGAGTAGATAACTTTTTTTATGGACATTCAAGGAGAAGCTATTAAAAAAGATAAAAAAGATAAAATAAGTATTTTGTAATAGTTAATGACTCCTCTGTTTTTTAAGAACAGCTTTTTTTGTAGAATACATTAACATAATTTAAATACACGCACACAAAATCCTAAAAGCTTTAGTTTAAGCTCTGTTCTTTAAGAACATTTTTATACACAATACACTAACAAAATTTGAACACTAACACACAAAATTAAAAAAAGTTCTTAAAAGTTTTAGTAGTTCTATACACACAAAATTTTAAGCAAAAATTATTTCACTGCATTTAAAAATACAGTGAAATAAATTGTCTGCAACTTTTACATCAAATGAACTTATTTAATCACAAACCATATGCAAGTGTACATTCAGAAAAAAAGTCACACTTTGACAATTACAGGTAAAAAAAATTACAGGTAAAAAAAATACCTGAGGATAAAGACGGTTTAAATTTTCCCATCCTAGCTTGTTTACTTCAGTTGGATGAATATCTTTGGTAGTGTAGTAACCAATAACTTGTTCATATGCTTTACTACCATTTAGTATGCATTTTTCTTCATTGCAAAAAGGTAGATATTTAATTGTTTTATTAGTCGTTAATGAACCATTGTAATAAATAAAACTCAATGGTAGTGCAGAAAGACCAGCACCACCTATATTGTCAGGACGACAGTATAAATAATGATCGAATTCCAAGTAACTAAAAAATATTTTAAACATAAATTAACATCATAAAAAATCATTCCATTATTATTCATTCATCATTACATCATTTATCATCTTGGAATCAAGATGATTTTTGTTTAAACATTTTAAAATCATCTTGATTACAAGATAACTTGATGTTGATGAAGAAAATGTTTAATGATAGTTAATATTTTAGGTTTAATAAAAAAAAACCAAGAAAAAAAAACAGCTTGAGAAAAGTAAGAAACATGTTTTTTATGGTGCTTTTTAAATTTGAAATACCATAGAGTCTTATTTTATCCACTTAGGTTACAGCTGTGTATATTGAATAAATTATCTTTCTAGATTTATTTTTTTGCCCTCCCCTCACTAAATAACTAAAATTGTATTGGGAGCAAACTTAAATATTTTTGTTCAGATCGCCAACTGGGTGACATGCTTTAAACTACTATTATTATAGGAGACACTAGACCCTGTTAAAACAGTACACATCTTTAGAGAAATAATCCTTGTGTAGAGAAATTTTTTTTTAGAGAAATAATCCTTGTGTCTTTTTAAGAAAGTTTGGTTTATAGCTGAAATACTGCTTATAAAGCATTATTCCAGCATTAAACCAAATCCATTTATAAATTAGTTTATCAGGAAAAAAAGGTTTTGGCAAAAATAGATTTTCTTCAAACCTGTATTCTGAATGGACAGAAATAGTTTTTCTAGAAATAACTACAGATCACTCATTGAACTGAGTGTAACTTAACTTGAAATTGAACTGTGTGTAATTTGGCTTGAACTTAGAATTTTACTGCGTGTAAATTGGCTTGAATTTGGAATTGTACTGTGTGTAATATGGCTTAAAGGAAAAGTTATTTAAATACTTTAAATTTTATGGCGTCACACCTTAACTAATTTATGACCATATATTATATACGCTGTATTAACTCATCAACTTTTAAAATATTTCTCCTGGTCTAATCAACTTGAAAGAGATTATTAAAAAGTTTCATTTTATGATCCTAAATTTATTAAAGTATCAATAGAAAGATTTGCTATTAAAAATTATTAAATTAAATTTTTTTCTAAATACCTTATATAGACATTGATTTTTTTTAGAATGTATAGCATTTAAAATTTAAAGTGTTTATTGTATGAAACCTTTATGTTTACACAACATTTTATTTAAAACTTATAAGCTAAAAAAAAGTTTTAAATAATGTCAAAAATATTTATTTTTATAAAAATTATTAATTTCAATTTATAAAAATTTATATCATTACATTAATTTATAAAAAAAAAATGTCTATTTTATTCTATCAACTGATAAGAATAGAAATAATTGCTGCAAAACAAACTGAAGAGTTATGAGGGGTTATATTAAGTATTTAAATGCATAACATGGCATACTATATAATTAGTTGTTGTCTTTAATAGAAAATTCTAGAATAATTATAACTTGCTAATAAATACACAAATAACAAAATAATAAACAACATAAATAATTGTTTTGAAATTTTTATTGAAATTATTATTTATTTTAACCTAAAAAAATAAATTTCATTTTTAATTTAATAAAAATTTATTTCAGTTTACTGATTTGAACTTCAAATCAAAAGGTACTAGATACAAAAGGTAAGGTAATATTAAATTTGCAGGAACAACAGATTCAGGATTACCTCTAGCTGATATTAAAATTTACTTGAAAATTAAAAAAAATAAATTAAAAAAAGGTTGTAAATTGATTTCAGAAAATATAAAACAATTTCAACTGAAAAGCTGGATGAGTTTTGAATTGTAAAACTATTTATAATGTTTATTTTAATGATTATTCTTTTTTTAAAAATTTGATAATAAAAAACTTTAAATATGATATCTTTTATATTACTTCAATATTTCTTTTGTTTCTATATCAACATATCACAATATAACAAAATAATTTTAACATAAAGATATATTTTCTGCTTAGATTAAAGTGTGAAATGAAACAAGTTTAACTTTTTTTCCAGGTACGCTTCAAAAATATCTTTAATAAATGGCTTGTTTGTTTATAGATAGATTCTTTGTTTAAATATAGATATGAAATAATAAAAACAAAATCATATGAACAAAATATATGAAATAATAAAATAAAATATGAAAAAATAAAATAAAGTAAAAATAGATATGAAATAATAAAATCAAACTCAAGTAAAATCTTTAATGAATTGCCAACATATACTTGAACAGCATCTTGTATATATTCAGTTACATTCTTTTTGTGCTTTTCAATGTACTTCTTTGTTAATTCATTTGAAATATTGTGATAAAAACTTGATATATAAAATTTAGAAACATACCATTCTCTCACAATGCCTGAATAAAAAACAAATTATCAAGAGAGATTAAAATTAAAACAAAAAAGATGACCTGAATAGTCATGTGATCAAACATGTGATAATCACACAAAAATCAATGTGAAAGCATAAATAACAAAGAAGTATTGAAACATACCAGTGGCACCATTTTGACTTATATTAATGTGATTTACTTTAATTGCATCTATTCCTGCTTGACATTCAATTAGTGTTCGAACCATGCCTCTTTCAATCCCCATTCTTAAAACATCAATATACTGATAAACTGTCTGGTTGAATTGCTTTAAATGTAATATCACTAGTTCAATCCCTTTTTCATCTGAAGGTATCATGGAACCAACAGCATTATACAAACTGTAACCAACGTGACAAATTGGTTCAGTACAAAATGAGGATGGTCCCAACATCCACAATCCCAAATAATAATTAAGATTTGGATTTGCAAAAATATTTTCCAAAAAATGTCTTACTCTCAGGTATGATTTGTGCTCTCTAGGTTTTAAAAGTGAGAGGTCTGGGTTCTAAAAACAAAAAAAAATATTACACTTAATTTTAATAATTTAAATTTCTGTTTTAAGAGTGAAAGATTTGAGTTTTGGTTAACAATAAAAATCCAAGAAATAATATAAAAAGTTTGCTAAATAGAAATCAAAGAAATATTAACATTAGTATTTAATTGTAAAAGAAATTGATTTTACAAATTTAAACTTTTACTTTTTACTTTTTTTTTAAATTAAACATCTTTAAAATATAAAGATTTAAAACAAAATAAAAATACAGAAAAAAAAAAAGAAGAAAAAGTATGACTTGTGTTCTCTAGGTTTTAAAAGTGAGAGGTCTGAGTTTTAAAAGTGAGAGGTCTGAGTTCTAAAAAAACATGTATTAATCTCAACTTTAATAATTTGTATTCTCAACTTTAATAATTTGTAATTTCTTTCTTTAATAATTTGTATTTGTTTTAAGAGTGAAAGATTTGGGTTTTGGTTAACAATAAAAATCAAATAAAAAATATAAAAAGTTTGCTAGCAATAAGAATCAAATAAATATTAACATTTGTATATAGTTGTAAAAGAAATTGATTTTACAAATATTTAAACCTTAAAATAAAAATATAAAAAAAACAAAAAAACTCACTAAACTTTTTGCTTCATTTAAAAGTGAGTATGCAGTGTCAGTCACTTTTTTAACATTTTCTGGACGAGGGTCATACATTTTAAACTTTTGAATAAGCATCTCTTCAGAAAGATTTGGGTGCCATGCAGTTTCTTCAGGAAAAACATCGTGATATTGATCGCGAACTTTGAACAAAAAATCCCCAAGTTTTATTCGTTTAGCCTCTTGGGAATACTCACAAGGATCAAATGTTTTTAATTTGGTAAATGTTGTTGTTGGAGCGTCTTTTAAAGGTTCACACTGATTCAACTTAGTTTTTGCTAATATTATTAAAACAATGCCAACTATTAGAAGAAGTAACGAAATGACTATAAACAAAACATTTTGCTTTTCTTTTAATAATGGTTTAAACTGTTTTGTTAGAATGCTTAGTTCAACATTTTCATCATCAGATTTTATTATTTCGTTACGAGAAACAGATCGCTTTGAAAACCTAACCATATCTGGTTATCTAAATAATAAAAGAAATTCTCTAAACATTCAATAAATACTTAACTAAAATTGTTTTTATATCACAATTACAATCTTGAAAATAATTTTTAAATTTACAAGAACTTCCAAGCATTCAAAGTAAATTTTAAAAGTTTAAAAAAAAAAGTATGTTTTCAAGCTGCAAAAAGTAATCTTGACACTAGACAACTCAATTTTGTGAAACTTGTGGATTTTAAAATAGTATACATTATATTGTAAATATAAATCAACATAATAAAATATATAATAAAAAGTATGAATGCAAATATAAATAAATTATTACTAAATAAAAAATTATAAAAAAATAAATAAATTTCTGCGTAACATAAAGTATAATTAAAATATAAGATTTAAAAAAAAAAAACTTGAAAAAATGCTTAGAAAAACTTAAAGCCAAAACTTGCTTATAACAGTAAGTTAAAACTTTATTCTCAGTTAAAGTTTGTTTATTTTGTAAATTTTATGTAAATGTCATTTGTTTGTTTAAATATTTTGATTGAACTATTTGTAAATAGGTATTGTTCTAAAGTTTAATAATTACAAACATCTTAAAAAAACACTTGATGTTTAATTTAATGTTTATGGACCATCAAAGATAACATTTTCTATAAAATTTTTTTACCTGGAAGCTCTTAAATGAGTTTTAAAGAAAAAAGAATGGAAAATAACAGGAATTAAAATGAAAACTTATTCAATATTTGAAAAAAAAAATTTAATATTTAATTTGAAAAAATAAAAAACTAAAAATGGAAAAAAAAGAAATGATTTTATGGATAAAATGTTTTTTAATTATTTATTTTAAATAAATGAATTACATCCTATAAGATATAAAAGGATTTGACATATCCTGATGTCTAAAAAAAGTTTGGTGAATTTAAACATAATCCATGTTTAAGAGTATTAAATGAAGAATCTGAGAAAACTTATGAGATTCAGATGAAAACAGACAATTTAAATTTAATTAAAGTTTAAACTGAACAATTTTATCAAATATTCTTGAATAATAAATATACAACATGCTTTTCAAAATTTTAATTGTAAAGGTTAAGTCATGACTTGGATGTTTATTTAAACTGTTACGAAGTTGTATTGAAAGCCAAAAATCATTTCACTTTTTCAACAAATATTTATAATCCCAATAACAATGTCATCTTTAAAGTAAACATTGATGCAAACCAAGTTATCAAAAGTTTATACACAAGTCATTAAAGGCCACTACAATACAAAACCTTAACAAAAAATTAATTTTTGAAAGAAAAGCATATAAAAGGGATACTGTAGATTAAATCAAGTAAATAAGTAAAAAAAAATTAACTGAATATATATATATATATATATATATATATATATATATATATATATATATATATATTTATATTCAGTTAATTTTTAATTTTTTGATTACAAAAATAAATATTTAATCCAGTCTATTAGATAGATTTGTATGTATATACAATTATGTATATTATTATTATTGTTAAGATAAGGTAAATTTACATGACGTGTGATATGACCACTTGTAAACATAAATAATCAAACCATGTCACCATTAACCAAATGAGTCACGTCAACACTAATATTAAAAATGTCAACAGAATTTCAAAATAATAACTTTAAAAATAGATGTAATGAAATTTTCATTATTAATGAGACTTTTAATGTATAACATGGATTTTTAATAATTTATATATAACATGAAAATTTTAATAATTCACTATATATGACTATTACTTTTGATTATTATATTTAATAATAGTAAAAAGTAATAGTTAAAAATAATAGTTAAAAGTTAAAGCTAAAAACAACATTCAAAAGTAATAGTAAAAAATTATAATAAAAAATAAGTCAAAAAATTGAATTTTTGTTATGTATTAAGATCTTGATGTTTTTGAACAACATAGCTCTTTAATTTTTATTTTAAAGAAATTATTTGTTTCAAAGAAATGACATTTAAAAAAATAACTAATCAATGATTAAATGACTTGTCAGTATCCATATGTTCATATTCAAAAAAGATTTTTAAATGAGTCATTTATACATTAATAAAAAATCAATTAAATATAATTTCATGCCTAAATTTTTTATATACTTTTATTTTTAAAGATAATCTGTTTAAATAGAATGTAGTGGCTAACCTGATTATACTCGTAATCAATAATAGAGACAAATGTTAAGAAAGCAATTGAAATTTAAATAATAAAAAAAAAGAATAATGTACCATTATGGATAGCACATATTATTCAAGCATTCATATTTTTGATAATCTTCCATTATTTAGGCTCTATATAAATAAAAAAGTATTTAAAAAATGAAACAATTACCAATTTATTTATTTCTTTTTGCTAAACAAAACATTTATTTAAAAAGAACTTGCTTTAAATATATATTTTGCTTATATAGTTAAAAAATTAAATTTAAAAATACTAAAACTTATAACCTAAATTAAATAAATAAATAATAACTTTTGACAAATTTATTCTAAATTTATTCTACGAAAAAAGGTGCTCAATGTTCTTAAAGTACACAACAGTAATAAATAAGTTAAAAAAATAATAATTTAATTTTTTCCTCCAAGTTTCTCCTTTAACAAATAATAGCAGTTTCTCCTTCAACAAATAATAGCAATTTCTCCTTCAACAAATAATAGCAGTTTCTCCTTCAACAGGATCATTAGAAAGCTGATGATCCTGTTGAAGAAGAAACACACACATATATTTGTTGCAGGAAATATGCTAATATTTCTAGAGTAAAGCCAACTCATCTGAACTTTTCAAAATTTTTATGACAATGCAAAAAGAAAGGGTTTTAACTAATAATATAAACCCTATGAATAATCATGATGAAGCAACTTAAATCTGGTGGTAGCCAGATTTAAGTTGCTTCATCATGACAGAACCATGATCTTCATCATGGTTCTGTCAGGCATATGTGCAAAATCTTGCAACATAAGCCTGACAGAAAATCTTGCAACATAAATTTCTAATTGCAACATAAATTTCTAATTAGAAAAAATTAAGTTCATCATTAGTATTAAATAAATTTAACTAGCCAATTAGTTTTTACTCTCTCTCTATATATAAACATACATAAACATAAATGCATACATACAAATATGAATGCAATATTAGATCCACACTGATGACATTAAACAGAAATAGATAGCTATGAGGGTTTTAGTACATACATCGACTGACTATGATTGATTGACTATCGTAGAACACACAAGGGAGTGCCATTAAATCAAATAAGCTTGGGTTGGAGCAACAATAGTTTATTTCTTTATTATTTATTTTTTTCTGAAAAATTCAAGTGCAAAAAATATATTAGAAAATTTATAATAATTAGTAACTTTATTTATTAATAAGTTTTATTTAAATATAATATTTGTTATTAAATTCAAAAACCTGATACATTGACCTTTTTAAAAAAACTACACTGGTTTATTAACTAACTTTCATAGCTTCACCAGTATTAACTAAACTGAAAATTTGTTTTATTTGCATGTATTTTAATGTTTCAATTTATTTCAAAAAACATAAATAACAAAAAAAAAATTACCAAACAATACCGCTTGCTTGAGATATAAACACCAAATTAAAAACTTCTGTTTTAGTATCATCTTTCAGATTCCAGGGTCCTAATCATGATTTTTACCTGTTAACATTATCTTTTTTACTGTTTGTTACCAAGTTGGTTTTCTACAACACAGTCATTTAAAATATAAACAAACAGCAATCAGGTTGCGCAATAAACTAAAATAAACTTCTTTCAGAAACTACTTTGCTTATTATTTAAGATTATCTTGAAAATTTTCCATTTTATTTTTTTGATATCAATACAATAGAAATACACAGTAAAATTAAATAATTTGATTAAAATTTCTATTAAGATTTTAAATATCGACAAAAATATTAAAACGATAAAAAACTTGATTGAGAAAAAGTTTAAATGAAATATTGCAAAGCAGATTTTTTTTTAATTATTAAATTCACCTTCACAAACTGCACCAATACAGTAAAGAAGTCTACACAATTTTTTTAATTTCTTTTAATTTATAAACTTTGTTAATAAATTTTTCTCAACTCTAAACTCATGGCTGGAACCATGAGTTGACAGGTAAACAGGTTGAGCATGGTATTCCAGAGGAGTAGGGTGGATAAAATCCTGAAACTTCCCGATGATGAGTCAAGTATTATATCACTAGTTTACTACCACATTAGTTTCTTTGACCACTAAGACGCAGAGAAACATGGCAAACACAAATTATATTTGCTGCTGCTGTTCATTATGAGATAAATTCAATACAATTTTCTTATTTAAACATTTTCACACTTTTTTTCACAAACATTTTCACAGTTTGGAAAATATTTTTTAGATTCAATTAAAAATGTCTAAATCCATGACTATATTTTGATGTTCCATGATTGTTACCTGGTGTCAACTACTCATAGAGCATTTAAACTTTACAAAACATTTAGATTGCAATAAGCATTTTTAAGATTATTAAACAAGATTTTTTTTTAATGTTAATTTACCACCCCAAAACCAAGAGCGCCACTAAAGTCAGGGAGGCTACTTTAGTTGTGGTTACAGCCTTCTCTCAATTCTATACCCCTCTCTCAATTCTATAACCCTCTCAACTCCAAAACATGAACCTTGACAAATAAAGTCGTTGCACAAGGCAACAAGTTAAGTGTGGTATCACCAGGGAGGTGGTGTATATTGAACTCAGAACTTCTCGCTTATGGACTCTACTACTATACCACTACCACATAAGAAAAAAAAGAAATTATTGACATTCTGTAAAGCAAAAAACTTCTTCTGCTGTAATTTTCAATTTCAACAAGATGACAAAATTGATTCAATATTGCTTTATTTTGAAATTTCTGCAAAAAAAAATCTGAAAAAGACATTGGTTGAACTAACTGAAATCATTGAGTTATCTTCTTTACCTGTAATTAAATTTTGGAAATTTAAAACTTCAGAGGTTAGAGGTATAGAGGTTAGAGGTATAAAGGTTAAAACTCTATACTCTTTGTTCAAAAAACTAAATGTTTTCTGTATATCTTAATACAATTTTGTAACATCAGATAATCTCTGATAGAAAACTTTTGATCAATGCATCAGAATGAATTTAAACCAAGTTTGACAACTAATATAAAATATAAAAAACTTTATAAAATATTTATAAATTTTTAAAATACATTGCTCAATATAAAATTAGATAAGAGCTGTAGTACAGGTACAAAGCACTCACTTTACAAGAGAAGAGTTCAATTCGCATCATGTTTATTGCAATATTTACCTTGTTTCTTCATGCAACATCCTTATTTATAAAATTTTGTATTTTGAAATCATTAAGTTGAGCTAAGAGTTGTAACAACAATTCAAAAAAAAAGAAGAGTATCCTCTTGATTGTAGTAGTCCTCAGCCTTAAGGAGGTAAACACAATAAGATGAGTAAACATACTATTAAATATTATGAAAATCTATGTAAATTTTATAAATACATTAACAATAACAAAATTAAACAAAATGTAGCAATATTATATTTAAATATTATGCAATATGAAAAATACAATAAGAAATACTAAACTGTATACACAAACATGTACCAAATGTATACATAAGCAAACTAACATATGACAAACTTGTAGATAATCTTGAAACAAACACTAAATATTTATATAAAACAGACCTATTTAATTTTTAGAAAATACATATAAATATTAAAACACGCTTTGTAAATAATATTTTATTCAGACAAATAATTTAAATCATTTGAAAAACAATGATAAAAATTGATCCAGTTGATCTCTTTCATTCAATATTTTCATTGTTCTTCTATATTTCCTTTTTAGAAATTTTTAAATTTCTTTTTATTCAACTTTTAAATCTTTTTGTTTGGATCATTTAATATCTAAAATAAAGAAAAAAAAGTTTTATATTAAATTTATCAAAACTTAGTTTATTAAAAATCATTTAGAAACAATTTTTTAAACCAAGATAAATTTAGACACATAAATTTATGTTTATTTTATTTGCACAGACACACACACAAACACACACACACACAGATATATAAACATATAAACATACATATAAATACACACACACAAACAGATATATATATATATATATATATATATATATATATATATATATATATATATATATATATATATATATACATATATATATATATATATATATATATATATATATATATATATATATATATATATATATATATATATATATATATATATATATATATGTATGTATGTATATATATATATATATATATATATATATATATATATATATATATATATATATATATATATATATATATATATCAGGCCTAAGAGGCAAGAACTTTAGCTCTCGCACACATTTCCTTAAAATGGATCACAAGAGCTATGGCTCTTGCAAAATTTTTCTCTCAATAGTTTATTATTGTAACTAAAATAAAAAACACAAAAACATTTTTATAAAAAAATATAAATTAATTGCATAATAAGGGGCCGCCCATAAAGTACGTACGCTTTTTTTTTGCCAAACCCCGCAATCCCCTCCCCTCGCAATTTGCCGTACTTTTGAGTACTCTCTACCACCCTCGCAATTTGCTATACTTTTGAGTACTCTTTACCTCCCTAAAAGTACCTACGCTTTTAACCTACTAACCCAACATTTTATGATATTTTTTCAACTTAGTGTATCCATATTTTTATAATTGACCTACTGCCCCCTTATTTCAGAAATGCCATTTGCAGACCTCCTCATCCTCTCCGAGCATACGCACTTTATGTACGATCCCTAAACTGCAACGCTTTTTTAAACGGTTATTGCAAATAAAAAACAAATAAAAAATGAAAAAGAGCCCTGATTGAAATGCGCATGTTTTTGATTAGATTGGAATATTTAATAAATAAAAAATTATTTCTCTAAATTATAATGATAAAATATAAAATGATAAAGTATAAAATTATTACACTTTAAATAATCACATAATAATTTTTATTTTATGTAATTATATGTTTTATACATTATTTACTTTAATGTATTATTTACTTTTATTGTGGAATTTTTAATTGATGTAATAATTCTTAAAATCCCAGCATTCTATTACAATAAGAAAAAAATATTTTTTTTTTTAATAAGTAGAAACTTCTAAAGCTCTTATCAAACTTTTTGTCAAATAAGTAATGACTAAATAATTTTTACCACACAATAAATGACATATTGACGCTTGTTACATATATATTCTTGTAACAAATGACGCTTGTTACATATATATTCTTGTAATATTAACGTTACAAACATATGCTTGTAACAAGTATAAAACCAAACTTTGTGTTTAATAAATAATTTTTTAAAGAAATAAACATTATGTATATATATATATATATATATATATATATATATATATATATATATATATATATATATATATATATATATATATATATATATATATATATATATATATATATAAATTCACCTCCTCAAAGCCGAGAAGCACATTACAGACAAGGAGGCTACTTATATGTATATATATGTATATATATACATATATATACATATATATGCATATATATATATAATATATTGTATATTTTGGTCATACTGAAATAGGGGGCAGCCGATTGCTTCAGTACATGGATCAACTAATTAAGTAGGGTAAACATGCAAGGTTTGTCATATAGACTAAAGATTTGGGTTGGGGCACCAATATTTTTTTTTCATTATTCTTTTTTTTCTTCATTTTCCAAAAAAAAACCATATGGAATAAAGCAAAAAAAGCAGCCATCTACGATAGGGTATTTAGTTAGACTTATACGTTGGCGTATTTAGATATATATAAATATGTATATACATATATATTTACCAACCTTATCACTTGATCCAATCATATGACTTAAATAATAAAAAACACATTATATTACTACTTAATCTCTTTCCCAGAATTCTGTTGTCTGCAAAATTGTTTAAAAAAAACTAAAAATTTGAGAGAGCAAAGTCTAATTAATTGTATTAATTATATAGTAGCAGCAGTAGTAGGAAGTAGTAGGAAGTTCCTTCATTATATAGTAGCAGCCTTTAAGTAGCAGTAGTAGTAGGAAGTAGCAGCCTTTAAGTAGGAAGCCTGAAGTAGAAGAATAATAAGAACTGCACAAAGTTTTCATACTTTTAAGATTTGAGACTTTTTTGATTTTAAGATTAGGAGTAAAAATGTGTACATGATTTAAAAATAGTGGAAAAAAAATTATGCTGAAAAACATCAATGTTTAAATTTATTTTACACCTCTTTTGATTTTTAAAAATCAAATCAAAAAAGTTATGAACATTTTTCTTTATATTTTGAAAAATATGGAGATTTTCAAAGAAAAAATTTTAAAAATCATTTCTTGCAAATATAAATAGTTTTGAAGATATTTTCTGCATTTATTAGTAAAATTGTTCAAAACAGTTCATGAATGTTTGGTATTAGTTTTTTCTTGAAAAAACTTAAAAAATGACACAATTTTTAGCATAAGCATTAAAACAAAAAATTAAATTATGAGCACTTCATATTCTCTTAGGCTTGGCAATAGTGGACCTTTGGCTTAGTTGGCAATAGTGGACCTTTGGCTTAGTTGGCAATAGTGGACCTTTGGCTTTGTTGGCAATAGTGGACCTTTGGCTTAGTTGGCAATAGTGGACCTTTGGCTTAGGACTTAATATTATTTGAATTGCCTATTTTTGTTATCTGAAAGTGTACATTTAACTTCAATGTGTAACACTTGCCAAGACTATGTTACAATTGATATAACCATCTATAAATGACTTAACTGATCAGCATGCAGATTAATTCAAGTTCTATTGAATGACATTTTTGAAGGATTTTTGAAGGATTAGCTATTATTTAAAGATGATTTACTAGACAGATGTGTAAATGTTGTGCGCTCTAATATTTTCAAAGAACACAGTAGTAAAAAATTTGGCATGTAATTAAATTTAAACTTATTTTAGCTGAGAAAAACCCTATTTTCTAATAATAAATTAAATATGTGCAATAGAAAATAATTAATATCAAAAATACTTTCAACAACATTATAGCTAACAATGTATGATATTTTGCTTGATCAGGTCTTAGCAGGAGTTTTTTTAAAACCATCCATTAAAAAATCATTTTTTTTATAGATGTGATTTAACTTTTTTCTTTTCAGGTTTACTTTAACAGCTTGCTTTTTCCAAAATTTATATTAATGGATTTATTAATTAATTCAGAGGCTGTGAGATCATTTTTATCTGTTTTTGTAATTTAGCTTTTTTTTAAATTTGACCCCATGTTTACTTTGATAACAAAATTATAAACTACAATGGATTAATTTTTTTAAAAACAGTTTCATAAGCAGTTTTATTTAAAACTTTACAAATTAAAAAGAAAAAAACTTAATAAATAAATGCCCTAGAATTTAAGTAAAATGTCAATTAATAACCCCTTTAATGTCTTCTTATTGTAAGAACATTATTATTAATATTTCTATTGTCCTTTTTGTTTATTTTTTTATTGTTTTCTACTATTCTAAGAAACAAAAACATAAAACAAAACTAAAAACTTCTCTGAAAACTTACTTGAGCATCAGCATTTTCTCTTAAAAGGCGATTCTTTCTAGAAGAATAGATTTTGTATGCAAGATTACCAGAGAGGATGACAGTTGAACTAACCAAAACAAGAGAGAGAGTTTTTTGTAAACTATCTGCAAGACGGGATGCAAAACTCATTATTAAACAGATTATTTTTTTAAACTTTGAAATGAATTATAATAAAAAAATAGTTACAAAATATTTATTAACATCTATTATTTATATCTTTATATCTAACTTCTATTATAAACCTGACCTCAATTATATACTTTTTTCTATATTTATGCATTTAAAGTATATCAAAAATCTTATTTGAAATTAAGATTTTTTAAATACTGTATTCAATATCAAGTGTACTAAACCAAAATCCAACTCTAATTTTTCAATTTTTAACCAAAGCAACAATTTTGCATTTATTTAACTCTTAAGATGTCATTGTGAGGAATTTTATGGAAATAAAATTTCAGTAGTATTTATAATTCAAAAGCCTTCCAACAACAACAACAACAACGACAACAACAACAACAACAACAACAAAATATACCTGGTAATTTTAAGATACTTAGTAAATAAATGAACTACCTGTCATAAAATAGTATGAAAGTAAACTTTTAAAGATGTTACCATCATATTACTTATAACCAGTGATAAAAGTATAATATAAATACTTTGAAAACAAATTAGTTTTAAATTAACATAAAACTCAAGTAATTGAAATTAATAAAAACTTTAATTTTACAAACAAGTAAAACAAACAAGAGTTAAGTATTAAATATAACAAACATTCACTTCAAAATGATTTTTACTATTTTTGTGTATATGCTTTTGAATTTATTAAACTGCTTTAATGGTAGCAAATAAAAATGGTAGCAAATAAAAATAAGCAATTATATTTAAAAAAAAATCTAGAGATTCTAAAATTGTTCAGATTTTAAATAATCACGATCGTTCGGGTCTCTCTAATGATGAAACTCCTGATGACAGATTTTCTGAAGATTGTACTTTATGTTTTGCAACATTGCTTGGAAGTATTGAATTGAATTCATGTTGACAATTTGAGATTGACATTCCAATACCAACACCAACTGATAGTGTTGCTGGCCAAATTTTACGTTTAAACATCACTAGAGATAAAAGACCTCCAACTCCTATACCAGCCCCAGTCTTTATAATAAGATCTGTAATACATCGATCATATTTGTAACCAATTTCATTCTCGCTCGGACTTGACATTTTTCTAGTCTACAAATAAGTTTTTATAAGATTTTTAAAAAAAGTTAATGAATATCATTCTTTATTATAATTGTTAAGCAAACAAACATTTTTGCTAAACATTTTTCCTAAAAATGTTTAGCAACCAAACATCTTTATTATAAATGTTCAGCAACTAAACATCTCTATTATAAATGTTCAGCAACCAAACATCTCTATTATAAATGTTTAGCAACTAGACATTTTATTAGATGTACTTTTTTGGAGTTAAAAAAACTAAAAATTAAACATTTTACTAAAAAAATTATGTAGTCAAGGTTTGCCATAGTGAACAAGAAACTTTTCCAATATTTTATTATACCAAAAATAGTCATGAGACAATAAAACATTTCTCTGAAAATTAACAAAAAACACAAAAAAAAACTCTTAGTCACAAATCTATTTTTGCTTTCCCCTATTGACCTCCATAAGAGTGGTGGTTAAAAGTGTGGTAAGGGAAAACAAAAACAGGTTCACACTTGAAATAAGTGCAATTAATTTTTCTCTTCAAAAAACCAAATTAATTTTTAACAGATTGTTTTAAAAATTGGTTAAAATTTTGTTTTTAGCAGCAATTTAATTTATAACTGCAAATAATAATAATAATAATAATTAAACATTTTGACAAAAATTTAATTCATTATTATGTGTTATTAAGAAATACTAGTTTTTTAAATTTGGTTTTTAACTTATTCAGATATAAATGAAAAATAAAACAAAAAAGTTTAGATAATAAAAATGAATAGCTAGTATTATAAGAAATTTTTTAATAAATAGAACTCTATATTGTAATAAAGCTCTATTATTGTAAATGAGAGTATTCTTTATTATAAGTGAGAGTTCTCTTTATTGCAAGTGAGATACCTCTTTATTGTAAGTGAAAGTGTTTTTTATTATAAGCGAAGTTCTTGTTATTGTAAGTGAGAGTCCTCTTTATTGTAAGTGAGAGTACTCTTTATTGTAAGTGAAAGTATTTTTTATTATAAGTGAAAGTTCTTGTTTTTGTAAGCGAGAGTCCTCTATTGTAGGTGAAAGTATTTTTTATTATAAGTTAAAGTTCTCGTTATTGTAAGTGAGAGTCCTCTTTATTGTATGTGAGAGTACTCTTTGTTATAAGTGAGAGCATTCTTTATTTTTAGTGATAGTGTTCTATATAACAACTAAGGTTAATGTAAAAAAAAAAACATCAGTCCAAATCTAAAAGCAAAAAATAACTTCACTAACTTAAAAAAACCCATGCTGCTACAACAAAAGTTGCTTTAGTATAAAATTCTATTCAATTCTAAAATAAGTTGAGAGATTTTATTTCTATTTTTAAAAAACTGTTCTTATAAAATATGAATCTAAACCAAATTATTCACATAAGTTTTAAAAACTGATTTTGTAATGGTTTTATAACCAAAGTTTCATAACTAAGATTTAAAAACTTATGCAATTTTTAAATGATACTTTTTATAGATTTATAATTTAAAAAAAACAAACATTTTCTGAAAACTTGGCTTAAATTTTTTATATCCTAGCACTTTGACTATTGCAGTTTTATTTATTGTTACATTGCTGCACTTGTCTTTATTTGACTTCTATTGCAATTTGTTATTCATTGCTACATTGTTGCACTTTGTTGAGGACCTTTTATAGACTTATTTAGCATCACTGTAATTTTCTGCATCAAAACTATCATCTGCTTTGTTACGATCTTGTGCAAGCTTACCATAACCTCCTCGTCCTGGATCATAGTCATTTCTATACTCATCTCGTACTTGTCCTCCGCTTCTCCCTCTACCATACTGACGACCTTCTTCAAATCCTGCATCCCAATCACTTCGAACAATACGATCTTCTAATCTTGTACCATTAATATATCGAATTGCATTTTCAGCACCTTCTGAAAAGTAATATTCTACAAAACAAAATCCACAAGGGGTCTTTTTTACCCTGTCAAGTCCCATTATGATGCGCTTGACATCCCCACTTTTAGAGAATAGTTCATAAATTTGTTCTTCTGAAGTATAAAATGAGAGATTTCCAACATAAAGAGTTGTGCTTGTTTCCAATTTTCGCTCTAATTCAGCCCGAGTCCCTTTAAAATGTTGATCTCTATAAGCACTAAGGCCAGCTGCCATTATATTTGCTAAATTAAAAAAGTTTTTAAATAAAATAAAATAAAATATTCTTACATACTTTGTGTTAAATATATTTTATATACTAAAAATTATTTGAATCATCATAACCAACACTTTACAACATAATGCAACAAAACCAAATTGATCAAAGAAATAAAAATTTATTTATATATTTAGAAATTTTATTTTAAAGCTCTTAAAAATAGTTTTAACATTAAAAAAAATTTTTTACAAACATTTTTTAATGAACTTTACACACCCTGTCGAATTCAAGATCATCATCATAGTACCAAAAATGTCCTTCTATAGAAGCATTATATAGACCTTATGAATACATTTAGATGTGTTTTTAAAATCTTTTAATTTTGATTGAGCTAGATTTTTGTATTTTAACAGGTGGACCTAGAACATTTTGATTTCCAAATGGTTAACTTCTGAGCATGGTATAAACTAAAAACTTTTATATCTTCAAGATGAATTAAAATAAGAATGGTTTACAAAAAGTGGCAGCAATCAGAACTTAGGGGGAATATTACCCTAATAATTTTTCCTTCTTGAACCCAATCAAGGTAAACACTATTTTTATTATTTTGTAGCAGATCAATTTTCATTTTTATTTTTATTATTTTGTAGCAGCTCTTTTATTTTAAATCTTATCAAGAAAACTCTTGGTGTTTAGAAACAACCCCATCACTTTGAGGGGGTTCGATTCATGACAAAAACAAAAATTAGTTTAAAGTTAAATTTTTTCTGAATGAATATTGATTTACTTAATAAATAAGAATAGAGTAATTTTTTTTCCTAAAAAAGTTGTTTTTTACAGATGGATTCCATGAGGGCAAAATAAACTGGGGTATTTTTGTTAAAATGCCAAAAAACGTTGTAACAAAAGTTTATTTGTTCTTAAACATTAAAAAGATTCAACCTTTACCTTAACCTTTAAAATACAAACTTAACTTGTTCGAAATAAAAACATATCAGAACATTTAAAGTACTCAAAAGGTTGAGATAAGTTCTCTACAGATGTCTACCCATAATAATTATTCTATTTACCAACAAATATTTTATTTTAGAGTTTAATATTTTATTTTATTATGTTTAGGTTTGGTAAGTTTTTTCACACAAATAAGTGGTCAAATTGTCAAAACTTTATTTGTATTTCAATTAAAAGTTTTATGCTATTTACTGGAGGGTAGAAAGTGTTTCTTTAACTATTTTAAAAACACTTTTTCTTGGTTTCAGATAGAAAAATTGAATTCATAAAAAAATAGAAGAAAAATAGGATTGCAAGTAATAGAAAAATACAATTGCAATTAATGGAAAAAAAAAATTGCAACTTGAAAACCAGGTGCTAATGAATGTCTTTAGTTTTACAAAAACTCTCATGTTGCATAATTAGACAGATTCAGAAGTTCTGAACTGAATTGTTTTGAAGGACAAGGAATTGTTTTTGTTAAACTAGTAAAAAAAATTTATAAAATTTTTTATGCAACAAGTGATCAAGATATGCTTCATATATAAACAACATTTAAAAAAAAAAAGTATTTGGAAAAATGGTAACAACTGAATAGTTTTCCGATTTTACTTAACAAAAGAAGAATGAAAAAAATTTATTATTGAAAACAACTTTTTAAAACAAAATTTTAAAAAAAATACAGTTTAATGTTATTACAATTTATTATTTTATATATAAATTTTTTTTATGAACTCAAAAATTTTAACAATGATTTCTTGTTAATCTAAAAATATAAATATTCAAATAATAAAATTCCACTACACCTTAAACAAAAATTTTTTAAGAAAGGCTGACCACACTTATAAAAATGACCAGATTACCAATAAAAAATTTATTAATATTAGATTGTTTAATAGCAACATTTTAGAGTTATGCAAACATTTAGAATAAATTAAACAATGCTGACTATTGTTGAAATTATTACCAAAATAAAAAATAAAATAAAAAAAAAAGATAAAAAAAAAAAAATACACAAAAAAATAAACAAGATAATTTACACTAATTGTATAAAAGCAACCAAAATTATAAAAATAAATTATATTACATTTTATTTAACTAAAATTTACAAAGAAAACATAGAAGAAAAAAAAAATTATTTAAATTTAATTTATATTAGTTTTAGTCAGCTTATGTCTGAATATGTATCAGCTTGTCTGAATATGTAATATAATGTCTGAATAATAAAATCTTTAGTATACTGTCTGATTAATAGAGTCTATTGTATAATGCCTGAGTAATAGTCTATAGTATAATGCCTGAGTAATAAAGTCTAGAGTATACTGTCTGAGTTGAACTTAAAAACACTTTTTGTGAAACTTATCATTTGTATAAATATAAGAAAATAAGCATAAAAAAAATAATTTCTAACAAAATACACAAAAACACTGACTTTCTAATCCCAAGTATCCATTATTATGTAGCTGCTTTGGACTATTAAATAAAGAAAATAAAAAAAATAAAAAATAAAAATTTAAAAAAATAAGTATTTAAGATTCTTTGATGAAATCATGATCCAGGCTCAACTGTAAAATACACTGCTTCTTGCAAGACAGGATAAATGAGTTTCACGTGCTCAGCCCCGCGGATGTTTAACTTATTCATGGAATAATAATGAATCATCTCAGGGATTGTATCATAGGGCTTGCTGTTCATTCCCAAGATGTATTTTCCATTTTGACATGAAATCTTTAGATGCATTGTTTCACCTTTATTTCTTAAAAAAAAGATAAAAAAATATAATATTGTAAAAATTGCATTGGTTATTTGAGACTGACACTATTTAAAAAAAAAATTAGAAGACTTTTTTTCTATAATAACTTTTTGCCTTTAGTAAAAATCTATATAATCATTAAAAACTTTTTCTGCAAAAGTTTGACAAAGCTTGTATTTTAGGGTTATAGAGTAGGTATTAAGTGGCTTACACTATATATACTATATATGGCTAATATATATTATATACTACGTATTATATATTATGTTTTATAGCTTATATATATTATGGCTTATCATATACTATACATAATGGCTTATTATATATTATTATATATTAAGTGGTCTATTATATATTATACATAATATACACATGTTAACTGGCTCATATATAATATATAATTTATATATAAGTAGGTATTAAGTGGTTTCAAAATGGAGTAGATAAATCAACATAAATAAACAGCTTTAAAGACACCATTTTTTGTAGAATTACAAAAAAATCAACATAAATAAACAGCTTTAAAGACACCATTTTTTGTAGAATTACAAAAAAATCAACATAAATAAACAGCTTTAAAGACACCATTTTTTTTTTGTAGAATTACAAAAAAATCAACATAAATAAACAGCTTTAAAGACACCATTTTTTGTAGAATTACAAAAAATGGTGTCATTAAAAATAAGTAAACATAAACAAAACTCAAACTATCCAGTGGTTAATTTATTTTTTCTAAAGTTTCTTATCTAAAAATATAAATGCTTTTTTTCAACTTAAAAACAAAAACATCTGAACTTTTTTTTTTGTTAACTGTTTATCTAAACCCAAATAAGTTGCAAAATTTATTTTTTTAAATAAATTTTGCAACTTATTTGGGTTTAGATAAACAGTTACGGTTTTTTGTGCAAGGTTCATGTTTCAGAGCAATAGGATTGTTAAAGGGTTGCTATAACAACTATTAGAAACAAAAAAAACCCACAGTCCACAGTTTGAGAAAAAAAAAATTAAAAAAATAACCATGATTTAAATATTTCTACTTGAGTAAATTTGAATACCCCATATTTTTCTGATTTGTTTAATTTTAAGCAAATTTTCCATCATTTAACAAAAAAATATATATATATGAAAAAAAAATAAAATAAATAAATAAAAACAATGAGAAAATAAAGATCAAATATAAGGATTGAAAATTATTATTTATTAATTTATAAATTGTACTTCTTTTTATTCTGTTTTACTTTTTAAAAATTTTTTATATTTACACTTACCATTTTTTTTTGTTACTTATATTTCTTTTTTATTTTTTATATATCCAAATAAATTCAGTAAATAGAAGGGGAAGAAGTACTGAAAAATTTGACAATAATTGACAACATCCTTCGTGTTAAGACCAAAACGATGTCATTTTTGAAAAACTTTTTTTTTTAAAGGTTATATTTATGCTATAAATGAACAGATTTGATATCAATGAACAGAAAAAAAATCAAATAATCAAATAAAAATAAATAAAATAACTGATAGCTAATACTCAATGACATCATGTATAAATACCCTAAAAATTAGTTGTTTTTTTCCATTTATTTTAACATAATTTTTTAGATTAAATTTATTTATTTAATTTATTTGATAAAGTTTTTTAGCTATAAAAACAATCAATGAAATTTAAAAAAATGAAACTGTTTATTTTGTTGTAGCATGTAACAAAAAGAAAGAGTTTTTCATTGCTTTTAAATCTCTCCTTATCTTCTTTTAAATATTTCTTATTGTTTATTTTTGTTGTTGTTGTTGTTCATATTTGAAATTACTTAATTATATATAAAAAGCAGAACTCACCACTATGTTTAGTAAAAAAGTAAAAAAACTTTTAAGTTTTAATATTGGCTTTATCAATGTAAATGTTTATTAATGCTTTTTTATTTATTTAACATTTAACACAATGTTAATAGTAGTAAATGACCAGGGTTGAAACTTGACCAGGGCTGGGTTTGAAAAAAAGTAGCCGGAGCTGGGACCTGGTTTGTGACCTGGGGTTGCATATACATTTATACATATATCTCATATAATTATATACATATATCTCATGAATTTCTGATAAAAAAAAGATTTTTTAATTCGAAATTCATGTTATACTTTATATAAATGCGTGTATTTATATATAAATGCCATCATGATTAACACGATTATAATCATGAAATCATCATTATCATCATCATCATCATCACCATCATCATCATCATCATCATCATCATCATCATCATCATCATCATCGCCATCATCGTTCCCATTCATCATAACCATTTTCTACATGCTGATTCACAAACCACTTTAATCTTTTCTGACAAACATTATTCGATACACATTTTTTAAAAATATCTATCTAAGATTAATGCTCCTTTTCTTGTCTTGTTAGAGTCATACCACACATCTATCATACCTAAGAGTCATACCACACATCTATCATACCTAAGAGTCATACCACACATCTATCATACCTAAGAGTCATACCACACATCTATCATACCTAAGAGTCATACCACACATCTATCATATCTAAGAGTCATACCACACATCTATCTAATCATCATCTTCTCTTTTGGTAAAATTTGTATCTTCATCATCTTTTTTTTGGCAAATCCATTTGATCGTCATCTCTTTTGGCAAACTATTTTGATTCTTTCTATTTTGATTCTGATTTATTCCTAACAAGGCTGCAAGCAACCATTATTAAGTTGGGAGTTACTAGAGAGACAATTAAATTAAAGAGCAATGAATTGGTTTAGAGAAGGCTAAAAACTATGATTTTTAACTAAAAATAAAAATTTAGTTAAAAACCATAGTTATTATGCATTAAAATTTAAAATATAAATTTTTACATAAAACAAATATTATTTTAGAACATTTATTATTATTTTTATAAAATTTCACTTCTTTTGAGTACCAGGTTGACCTACTTGTGAAGAGTTTTTTTCCCCAGAATTTTAGGGGTCGTATAAATGTTTAAAGGACTTGGGGCACCTCTAAAAATATTTTTTTTTCAAAATTTTTTGTTTATCCAGTGATATTTTATTATATCGCATATGTTTAGAGCACAGACAAGGCAATTTTATAAAATGGTTGTTTTTTGATGCACCCTAATATATATATATATATATATATATATATATATATATATATATATATATATATATATATATATATATATATATATATATATATATATATATATATATATATATATATATATATATATATATATATATATACATATATATATATACATATATATATATATATATATATATATATATATATATATATATATATATATATATATTTGCATTTATTTGTTACCACAGTAGTAATATTCCTGTTAATATGTTTATTTATAATAGTAAAAGTGAAATGGATGATATTAGGCTTAAACAAATCATCAGAAGGATACTATCAACTTAAAAATAATTGATACTTTAGTGAGATGATTAGAACTAGGCAAGCTAAAATTAATTGTCATGAAAACGCAAGAAATGCTGATTAGCAAGAAGAAATTAACTAATACTTAAATTTAGGCAGATTTGATGAAACACCGCAAGTTTTACAAGATTTACAGGAAGTTATCTATATTATAATTCCAATATCAATTTTTTTAAATATATTAAAATTTATAATGCCTGTTTATATTTAGCTTTTTTTACTAATAACATGGTTTAACCTATGAATCATAGGTTGTCATGTTTTAAAACATGTGATCAAGTTTTTCTATTGTGTAGGTAATCTTAGGCCAGATCAAGATATTCCTCTAACATTATCAACTGTATATCTGACTCATTTTGCTTACATTGCTTAAAGTTTTACTTGCGTAGTATAGTTAGTGAAGTTGCATTTGTATTTATTGGAGAAGATGGTGCTCCACCTGCTTCCAGGCAAGTTTTTTACCCAAAAGGTAATTTAAAAGTTACACTGAGTATGACAGCTTGGATCCTACGGTTTGTTTCCTTTTTTTTCAATGAAATGATTTCCATGCAATATACGTTAGAAATCATGTTAAATTATCTCAGTTTTAAAATTATGGTCCTTCAGTACGATAAAACTTCTGTTCAATAATTTATGGCAATAAACTTGTTTCTAATTACTAACTTCAGCAATATGCTGCTGATGCATATGTTAAAATTGAAATGCAGTGTCTTGCTTTCATAAAAATAACCAAAGCAAATTAATAAGCATGAAATATGATGCATTACTTGAAGACGTAAGCAACCTTGGTAATAATAACCTCAGACCAGGGTTTTCTATTTACTTAGGAAGTCTAAAAATATGAAAATGCTCTGGTTATTATTAAAAATTAAAAAGGTAAAGTAATAATTAGATCTGGTAAACCAAATATTTTTATTACTTTTGCCTGCAACCCAGCATAACAGTGTGTGGTAAAAAAATGTATACAAATATATTTTCAAACATTGTTAATTAATAGTTTATAATAAGTATGTTTTCATGTGTAATAAAGTAAATATTAATAGTTTATATAATTAATAGATTAAAAATTTATTATATAACTAATAGATTATAAAAACTTGCTATATTATTTAAAGTTTATATAAATTTATTATATTAATTAATTAATAGTTTATATAAAATATAATATATTCTAAGTTTATGTGTTTAAATTCTTTTTTCTTTTCTTTTCTTTTAATGTTTTAGAAGCAGTGTTATTAAGCAAGATTGTTATCCTTGCCAGTTATGAGATATTACTAAGTTTTGTATCATTGGCCATAGATAGTGCCGGGTGGTCTTAACTTCTGTTAATTATTTTTTTACTCAGGACACTTTAGAACTGACTTTAGTATAAATCTTACTATAATCAAAATACAAATACTAGAATTTGTTGAGCTTTTTTTTTTTTAAAGTTATATATTTTAATTTCTTGGATACATCAGATAAAAACGAATATTTATATTTCAATTTAAATTCAACCTTATGTATATTTACTACTTATTATACTCAACTTTCCTATTACTTTCAGATATTCTACGATATCAAGACTGATAAGTTTAAAATTATTATAATAACTTTTTTATGACTGTAATTAATTAGACTATTATCAAGTTTGTTATATATATTTTAGTTTTAATATTAGTCACTACATTTTTTTACAAATCAAATTTTTTTAAATTTTTATATTACTGATAATAATTATCCGAAGATGAAATGATTCTATATGTAAATATATTTTTTGAAGTTTAAGCATTTTTTTTTTTCTTTTTAGTTGTCATTGCTTTATTAGTTTGCTTACTATTGAAACATAGTTTAAATTTAGTAAATTTATATGATATGAAATTTACTGTGTTAATCATTTTTCACAGTTATGAATAAATTGGAATTCTAAACTAGTGAGGTAAAAATAATTTTATTCATTGGTAACGCTAAAAAGCCTATATAATTATGCTAATATATTTTTTTTTATTGTCATTAAAAACAATAACTTAAGTTATGTATATAGTATCTTTTTGAATATTATATTATTGAATATTATATTATTTTGAATATTAAACTTATGAATATTTTAACTTTTTTAACACAGTGCCTTTAAAACAGTCTCACCTCTCTGTTAAACGAAAGTCTAAAAATAAAGTGCATTATTGGAACAATCATTTATTACTAAGCTACAATCATTTAGTATTAAGTACTATGTTTTTTTTGGTACTATAATTGTTTAAGAAATGTTTTACAAGTTACATGTTTTACAACACAATAATAAATATGTAAAATTATTAACAAACTTATTTATTCTAAAACACAATATAAAATATGTAAAAAATGCTTTTGTAGTTAAAGATGATCTTTTTCTTTTAGGAATTAATTCTTGGCTTTCCCTTCTCTGGTGCTTGCTGTTATTAAAAAGAACCTATCTTTAGTTTCATGGTCTTTGCTAAATGCCAAGACCAATAAAAGCAAGCAAAACCAAAAAGATGATTATATAATATGCCATTATCCTGATTTTTACGGAGTAGAGCGCAAAACCAATTAAAACTTTTATAGCATTTTTCAGCAGAAAAACCAGGACTAAAGGAAACCCTATATATATTTGAATTTGTATTTATATTTTTCATATAATATTTCAAGTTGAATTGTCATTTATTCATTTCTAACCCATATTACGGGTTGCTTACTGCTAGTAGTTTATTATACTTAAATTTTTAATACTACGTTTATTATTCTTAAAATTTTAATAATAATAGATCAAGAAGCAATAAATTATAAAAAACACGATAACTAATGTTTTTTTGCTTTGATCTTACTCATTTGGTCTATAGGTTGTTTTTGCACAAATATAAAGTTTAAAGTTTTATGACGATATATATATATTAAAAACGTTTTAATTTATTAATTGTTTAATTAATAAATTAAAACGTTTTAATTATTCTTAAAAATTAATTACAAAAATAAACTTTAAAATTAATTAAACAATTCTACTTACTTAATTTGCTTTATTTTAAATGCATTTCATGTTCAAAACAACTTCGCAGTTTGTTTTTTGCTGTTTTATAACTTTTTACATTAACAACTGCTCTAACACATGTTCATCAATGTATTTTGAGTAAACTATATTCTTTCAACATCAACGTATTAAATACTTTTCTATAACTGTAAAATTGGTTTATATATTGTAATATTTGCATTTTGAATTTTACTTTTTTACTTTTTTTTAAGTATCATGTTAAGTAAAAACAATCACTAAAAGTAATATTGAAATAGTATTAAAAATGTTACTTGCTAATTACATTATAACTTGCTCATTACACATAACTGCAACTTTAACTTTAAATTATAACTTAAGCTGTAAATTCTAACAGTAACTTACGCTATTTTTAATTCCGCCTAATAAGAAAATCATAACATAATAAAATGCGAGAGATATTAAATTAAAAAAAATAAAAATTGCAAACTAAAGTCAAAAAAATACAATTTTATACTAACACAACCCCCTCCCCTTACCACAAAGCAATGCCAAGGATAAGAAGGAAGGGGGTGGTTTAAAAAATTTTTTTTCACCTTTTTTTTTTAGGATAGTTGCAGGATAGTTTGGCTGGGGCTAGGATCAGGTTTGTAAAAAGTCTAAACTTAAGCCAGGCCAGACCAGTTAGTACTAGTTTGTAGCACCAAAAACTGTTTTATGAGTCTAAACATTTGACTTTTTAACTGCATGTAAACGAAATTGTTTTATAAATTCAATAGGTATGGAAAACAAGTAAATTACATTACAGTGCATTGATTGATCGTTTAACTTAAAGTCAATTATTTTAATCAAAACAATTGTTTTTTAAAATTATTAGAATTATTAACAATTTGAAAACTAACAAATAATTTTTTTTTATTATTATTAAATATTTAAAATAAAAATAACCAAGTAGGTTATTACAGTCAAGGAAGTCGATTTTATTTTAATTTTTTTTACATTAGTGTTCATATAGTGAAAGTTTGGGAGTTTTTATTTTAAAAGAGTTTTTAATAAATTTCAAATTTTTTATCAAATTACACAAAGTAAAATTTGTTAACGCTAAGAAGCACAGCTTGAGTTTTTTGAGCTTTTTAAAAATGATTAAAACTGTTATTCTTCTTTATACAATCTTTCTAATTGGTAATTTCTTATCTTTTACACTTTACACATTGGTTCATTTCAAACATTTACTCTTGGTCCATTGGTTCATTCAAAACACTTACTCTTGGTCCATGATCTTTTGTTATAATTATTATGTAATTTTTTTTTAAATGTTGTTGCAACATTCTCTCAATCTTTTAAGACAAACTACAAATGTAAGGTATCAGAAAATGTTCATATTAATTGTAGTAAAGGACTACCTAAGCACGTTATTTTATATTACATTTTGTAATTTTGCCACTATGAGGAGAAACTAGTATTTTTACAAATAGAGATTTGCTTAAAAACTTAAAACAATAAATTTTTGAAAAAAAATTTTAAACATTTTTGAGAACTTCATTTTACATTTTATCAAATCTGTAAGATTAAACCTATCTGTTTATTTTCTATCAAAAGATGGGTTTTTGTAGAAAACAAGATATTAAATAAATTTTCAACATTAAATGTAGTTGAAGTAAGTTAACTTTAACTATACATTGATTTTAAATACTTTGAAATGGCAGATTTTAATAAAAAAAAAAAGTATTAGAGAAAAAAGTTTACATATTAATATATTATATATAATACATTAAGTTTTTGCTTACTTAAGAGATAAAGAGTAGTTTAATTTTGAGCTTTCACTGTCTCTGATCAAATAGCTACAATCAGGCATTGATTTTAAAAGATCTTCTGCATAATCTCTTCGAATAGCTCCATGAAACCAACTAAATTTACAAGTTTTATTTTATAATTTTATATTTTAAAAACTTTATATATATATATATATATATATATATATATATATATATATATATATATATATATATATATATATATATATATATATATATATATATATATATATATATATATATGTATATATATATATATATATATATATATATATATATATAAATATATATATATATATATAAATATATATATATTATATATATATATATATATATATATTTATATATATATATATATAAACACTATTTTAATATATTATAAATACATATTAATACATACACACACACATATATACACATGCTTTGTATAAAAAAAAATATCCATTAAAAATATATATATAACAATAATGTATGTATGTATATGTATATATCTTATACTGCTGAGTTAGGTGAGCATGATGATGTCATATTCACCTAATGTCAAATAGCCTGCTGCCGGGGGCTTCAGTACATACATCGACTGACAAATAGCCTGACTCGCAGTGGAGTGCTGCTACATCGACTGAGGGTTTGGTATGGGTCAGCAACCTTTTCATTCATTATTCTTCGTTTTCCCTTATCGTTTTCTAAAAACACTCACTTAAATTAGGCTAGAAAAAAAGGGAGCAATTGCGCATATAAATATGCTATAGTATATATATATATATATATATATATATATATATATATGCATTAGATAGAGGTGGAGAGGTTAAGGCTATCGCACTTTGCATTAGATAGAGGTGGAGAGGTTAAGGCTATCGCACTTGACATTTCTAAAGCTTTTGATAAAGTTTGGCATGCTGGTCTTCTCCATAAGCTTTCTTCTTATGGTGTAGCTGGTAACGTCTTTAAGATTATTGAGTCCTTTCTTTCCAATCGTAGTATAAAAGTTGTCCTCGATGGACAACACTCTTCTTCACATCCTGTAACTTCAGGGGTTCCTCAAGGTTCAATCCTTGGCCCTATACTCTTTTTAATTTACATTAACGATCTTCCAGATATTCTCACATCTAAGGTGGCATTATTCGCTGACGACACTACCATTTACTCTTGTCATGATAAGAAGCCTACACTCTCTGATTGCTTGGAGGGGGTATCTGAGCTTGAAAACGATCTCACTTCTGCTACAGCATGGGGCTCACAGTGGCTGGTGAACTTTAATTCAGATAAAACTCAATTTTATTCGGTCAATCGTTATCGTAATAATTTAGATCTTCCTATATTTATGAATGGTAATGTACTAGATGAGTCATCTACCATTCATCTTCTAGGATTAACTCTTACTTCTGATCTTTCTTTTAAACCGTATATCAAATCCATTGCAAAATTAGCATCTGCTAAGGTTGCATCTCTTTATCGAGCTCGACACTTTCTTACTCCAGATTCTATTCTCTATCTCTATAAATCTCAAATCCGTCCCTGTATGGAATACTGTTGCCACATCTGGGGCAGATCTTCTAATGATGCTCTTTCTCTTTTAGACAAGGTGCAAAAACGAATTGTAAACATAGTTGGACCTGCTCTTGCAGCCAATCTCCAACCTTTGTCACATCGTCGTAATGTTGCTTCCCTTTCTCTTTTCTACAAATATTATAATGGGCACTGCTCTAAAGAGCTAGCGTCCCTTGTGCCATCTACTAAAATTCACTCTCGTGTTACTCGCCATTCAATTAAGTCTCATCCTTTTTCTGTGACTGTTCCTAAGTGCTTCAAAAACTCTTATTCTTCTAGTTTTTTTCCTCGAACATCAGTTCTTTGGAATTCGCTTCCTTCATCTTGCTTTCCTGATTCATATAATTTGCAATCTTTTAAGTCATCAGTCA